ACCTGACCAATATAAAAATAATAACAATTAATCAATAATCATATCCTTAATTTCTAAAGAATTATAAAAAAATCATTGCCACACTCAATCATAATTATAAATTAATTCCCCACAAATAATTACACGTAGATACATACCCTGGTAGTACTTTTCCTTTACTGATTTGGAACAACAAATAATTCTAAATCCATAGAGGAATAGTTAAGCCGCAACTTAATTAACCGAATGCTACTGGTTAATATGGTTACCACGGTAACCAATCCGTTTGAACACCCCTTAATTGTGCAATACGCTGAAGCTAACTTTGCGGTGGAAATGGGGTATGTGTAAGTGGGGTTAATTAGGCAATTGTACTTATGACACATTTGATTAGCTGTTAGGGTTAGGGTTAAAGGCTACATATATTGTACTTATGACACATTTGATTTTTGGCTTGTATGAATGTGGAATCTTTGAGATGAGTGAAATTTTAAGCTGTTGTGGGATATACTTTGAGTGTTGATACTATGGATGGGTTATTGAATAGTGATGACAATGAGGCGGGCGGGCGAGGCGAGTATTTCAATATTAATGTTACGCCCCATTCTATTACGGGGCCAGGGCAGGTAATACTCGCGCGGGTACGAGGCTGGGCAGGCCGATACACTCTTACATTTTATGTGAAAATATACATGTAAAATTTTAATTTTTATGATAAAATGAAGGGGAAAACATTTTATGAATGAAAATAGTGATACTAGAATGGGTAATTGAGTCTAACTAGTTGAAATTGAGATAGAATGGACCCAGAACAGAGTGGAGCATGACGGGTTGGTAGTAGATATTCATACATCGTCCCACGTTGTTGCGTGTCGGGTTATACCCGACTGGGTGGGTACAAATTCCCATCCCTACTATTGAAGGAGAATAAAAGTAGTTGGTGGCGTCCAGACTATGTTCCTATATAATTAGTAATTTTTTGTATCAAATAACAGGTTTTATGCAATGTAGTTGATCTTAAATACCACATTTCTCCTCCTACGTTATAGGTATACGTTAAATAGGAATGTAGTATTAGTATGGTTAAATTAGCTTGTATAGTCAATAAGACCATAATAATTAATTACGCAATTGTGATGGAGCTAAGCAGATCTGGTGAGTAACCTTGTGGTGCTACCCATACATAACCCAATAAGAATTCGCTATATCAGCTCCTCTTCTCTCTGCTCGAAAAACGTTTAATTTTCCTTCCCTTAATCTTTAACAGACGATTTCTCACTCGTTTTTACTCGAAATTTACTTTTTTGCACTGTTAGATCAGATTAATTGTGCTCTTCAAAATCATATCCACTTTGATATTTTTTGGAACAAAAAAATTTGCCAGTTATTACCAGTCTATACAATATGGTATTTACTGGGGTATTGACTGATATTAAATAACATCATACCATATGGTATGAAAAATACCACCCCATACCAGGGTGGTATAGTATGTTATGGAGTTGGTAGCGAGAGGTATGAAATATTTTCACCCAGAAAAATTTGAAATCCAATAGATCATGATTAAATTTAAATCGTCCCTTCTGTGCAAAATTTTTCGAAAACGACTAAAAAACGAAGCAGATACCATATGGTATGCAGTTGGTAACGAGAGGTATGAAATCTTTTTTCTCAAAAAATACTGAAAATGGATATAATTTTGTAGAGCACAACAAACTCGTTCCATGTGTGGAAAAAAAATTAAAATCCGAGTTAGATAGAAGAAGATATTATCCAATCAAGAAAACTAGGAAAAATAAATTCATTTAATTCTCCACCGTTAGATCTGCAGTCACTTAAAAGAAGGGGTCCAGATTTAATTACTCATAGTTATGCACCCTGAGATTATGCACTCTATCGTGATGGAGGTCATATACTCATATAGTTAAGTTACAACAGAAAACCATGATGTACTTTTCATGTTCTGAATATTTATAAAATACATTAAGTGTCCGCATGGTTAAAAATCACTTTCATTATATCATATAATAAACAAAAATTCACAAAGTGTTTTTGATTTTGAATTTGAAGCTTTTTATATTTAGCCCAAAGCTATGCAATTTTTTTAATACTTCTGATAGAAACTGATAAAACCAATACAACTTTCAAAAGCAAATAGTAAGATAATGAATATACTTTTGTCTTCACCATAAATTAAGCTAAATTCATTACTTCTTTCAAATCTCAAAATCTCATTATTTATTTTTTCGTTGAATCAATCTCTCATTATTTTCAACAAAACGGTAATAATTCGCGATGACATGAGTGGAGGGAGTTATCACATGACTAAACAGGAGGGAGCCACCCTAACTCGAGAACTATGCTTTTTATTTTTATTTTTTATTTATGTCTTCGGAGGAGAAAGGCCGAATAGTGAATAAAAATTTGTTTCAATTTTGGATTTTTGATAAAATTGGAAAATTTAGATGGAGTTTATTTGATGTAGTAACATATTTGATGTTTTAAAGTTCAACAAAATGAGTTTGAGGTGTAATGGATACCGTCGTTTTATGTTCAATGTAAGTTCAATGGTTTTGAAATTAAAGAACTGTCACTTTTTCTTGAAAAATCCGAAACTAATCGCTAATGTTTCTTAAAATTTAGAGTTGTCATGTGACACTCTTAAACCTCATTGAATCCAACCCCCCCCCCCCCCCCCCCAACCAGTACCAAGAGATGAATTAGCTAGTAGGATTATTACCAAAGGATATGCATGCTATACTTATGATATTAATTGAGATTATCGAATAACAACAACCGAATGTCTTTTCGCCCAATCCTTATTCTCACAATTATATGTTAACTCTCTCTCTAGAACCCTCTCCGCTTTCTCTTAAGTCTTATATTAACTAGGCAGAGAACGCGCGTTGCTGCGAGTTGGTCAACTATTGGGTTGTTGTGGTTGCCCATTCATATGTGATTCTATTTATGGTGGTGTATTTACAATGGTAATTTTGTTTTGTTTTTTGTGAGGATGATAATTGTTTAGTGACGATTCTTTATTTTATACCTATAAACATAGGTGAAAATTTAATGTTAAATTGTAGAAAATTCTAACTCCATTGGGGATGAAATGTTTAGAGAGAAGCAAAGGGAGTAAAGAGTGGAACTCACCTTAAAATTCATAGTTTCACGCACAATCCACAATCGCAAACAATTGGCTAGTCCATATCAGACCAACCAAATTCAAGAATCGATCAAATATTTTAACGATATCACGATTTACTTATCTCTTTAAGTTCTAAGATGTACCTCCTGTAATATTTTTTAATTGTTCAATTTATTTGATAAAAAACATTGAACCAATGGGCACTTAAATCCGAGTGATTTTTTGTTATTCAACACGCAATTCCAAACAACCGGCTAGATCATAGTCCGACAAATTTAAGAACCGATTCATTATTGTAATTAATTACAATTTTACGGATCTCACTAAATTCTAATAAGATATTCCCATCTTGTTTAATTCTAATTAAAAATTTGGGTGCGCCTACGATGACATGCATGTCACGATGACTTGCACTTTTCGGTCGACCTCAGTTAGAATTAGGTCAGGTCGACCTCATTTACTATTAGGTCGACCTCATTAGGATTAGGTCGACCTCATTTAGGACTAGGTCGACCTAATATGTTGTTTCAGTGTAAAAACAGTTTCATGGTGCCTACTTTGGAGATTCATATCATGCAATTGGTTAGATGGAAATTGAAGATTAATGGCTTGTTTTGAAGCTGGAGTGTTCCCCTACATATTGAAGTGATTGAGAGCTCGATAGGAAATTCAGAAGACCATTTTTCAACATGATCAAAAGGCTGTGCCAAAACTAGAAAACTACCTGAAAATGGCTAAGTCTGGAAACATGTTTGTGAAGCCTACATTGGAGCTCAATTCGAGAAACATGAATATGAGTCGAGTCCAGGGGCCTCTACCACGTTAAATTAGGTATGTTTTTATACAAATTCAAGGCATTGGATGAAAGATTGGATATCTGTAAGGCTTCAAACAAAAGGGTCGAAGTTGCTACGAAGGTTGTTTTTCTGGCAGACTTCGAGCACAAGCAAGCTGCCAGAAAAACAGTCTTTATAGCAACTTCGAGCCTTTTGTTTAAAGCCTTAAAGATATCCAATCTTTCATCCAATTCCTTGCCTTTGTAGACAAACATACCTAATTTAACATGCTATAGGCCTCTGGACTCAAATCGCATCCATGCTTCTCAAATTGAGCTCCAAAGAAGGCTTCGCAAACACGTTCCTAGACTTGGCCATTTTCAGGCAGTTTCCCAGTTTTGGCACAGCCTTTTGATCAGGTTCAAAAATGGTCTTCTGGACTTCCTATCGAGCTCGCAAGTACTTTAATGTGTAGAGGGAGACTTCAGCTTCACAACAAGCCATTAATCTCCTATTTCCATCTAGCCAATTGTAAGATATGAATTCCAAAGTAGGCACCATGAAACTGTTTTTACACTGAAACAACAGATTAGGTCGACCTAATCCTATATGAGGTCGACCGGAAAGTGCATGTCGTCGTAGCAAAGTCCTAAAAATTTTGATGTCTCTTTTATTTCTCTTTTTTTTTTGTGTAATACCTTGTTCTTTTTTGTAATATTATTTTTTTATGAGTGGAAACAAAACAAACAAAGGACTACAAAAAAATCATGGATAGTTGAGATACAATATGGGCCCCCACTCCCTTAGTTAGTTAGTTATAACAAAACTAAGTCTAGTAAAAATGTACGCGACTGACTGAGCCCCTACATCCCGAAACATGAAGAAAAATGGCAACTTTGTCCCTCCTCAAGTTTAATTTGGTGAGTAAAATGACATTAGCTTTATCTAAAAACTCTTGTGGCTTAGCCCAGAAACAATAAAATGGTATAGATTAGAGAAACCTTAGGCTTTGGTCAGTAAAATGGCATTAGCTTTATCTGAAAACTCTTGTGGCTTAGCCAAGAAACAAAAGGAGTGGTATAGATTAGAGAATCCTTTGGCAACAGTAACCCTTATTCAAATTTATATATATTAATTATAGTATATTACTCGTTACAGCGTACGTACGCATGTAAACAAACATCATGCATTGTTCTAAGAGATTGCATCTCCTTTTATTTCAGTAAGACTATAGAGCATTATATATATATACGTTGACCTCCATTTCCATACGAAGCAGTGATACATCTTTGACCGTCGTTTTTATTTTCAAGGCAACCCGTAGAGTTTACGGATGCCCTCGATATCAGCGCTCTGTAATTCCCGCTTGATTTGCCCGTGGTTCAAGTAAGGGTACATGATCGCTGCCTCATTGTCGCTGTGAAGAAGCCGTAATGTATGCCAATCTCATGCACCGCAATGGACTCAAGATCCATATCCTTTGGGCTTGGGTCATCGCTCCATTTATAATCTGCGTTGTAATGGAGTTCTCCAATACGTGGCCTGAACGCATGGGCCGTGGGCCCTTTAGCCCCTTCAAATGGAGTCCCGTCTCCGTGGCGGCGAGAATAGAACGTAATTTTCAGGTCAGCCGGCGCGGTAGTATTGGCAACATAGTCGAACGTGAATTCTGTTACATTCTTCCAGCTCTGGAACGCCTTGTTGACGGCCGCCTTGATGGTGGGTTCCTCCAACCCGGCAGGAGGGCGGCTCTTGGGCCCGAACTTATATTGAAGGTTGTTCTTGTTCCACTTAGGTTCGCCAGGGAAGAATGCATAATCGTTGGGCTTCTTTTGGTCCCCATAGTCCACGGTCATAACAAGGCCATGGTCTGAAACGCCACACCTAGGGATCATCATTTGGGTTGTCGTGGCACGGTCCTAGGCCCCCGAGACGGGGATGCGGTGAGTTAGCTGATATCGCTTGATTGCGGCTTCTAGTAACTCATCGAATTCGTCGTTGTTTTGATGCACTGTGGCTTCGTTGGCGTTGGTGTCCTTGTGATCATCATTGATGCACTGCGGCTTCGTTCACGTCACGGAGCCCTTCAATGGATTGGCCTCTACGGCCGCCCTCCAATTGCTTGATGAACCCTAAGGGTGCTGCGAATGCTGCTGAATTGATGACAACAAGAGAGACAAGAAGAAATGTGGCTGTAACAACCAATGTTGTCAGAACCGAACCGGAGCATGATCCGGTAATGAGAACGGCTCGCATTTTAGCGGTTTAACCGGCATTAGACCGTTTAAAAACCGTTAGAGAACCGGTATCTAATAAACGTTATCAGTATAAATAGTGGACATTTCTTAATCAGAGCTCATCTCTTTCCTTCGAAATTGTGAAATGGAAATAAGGATTCAATTTAAGAGCCCGACATTTTTGGTTTATTTCAATTTTCAAATTTCTACAATTTTTTTAATTAAATTTAGTGGCTGAATGGCAAAAACCGGACGAGTGGCTCGATCGGCTCGAACGGTTAAACGCCTCGACCGCTCGCCAACCGCTACATAAAACCGGAGTGGCTTTTAGACTGTTCCGAGCCGGTTTTGTGACCGGGTGGCGGTTTTACCGGTCGGGCCGAGCAACTCGGCTCGGCTTTAATAACACTGGTAACAACTCTCAAAAGCGTCATTGTTGACATATAGTAGATTACGTTCAAGAGCTTTTTGTGTTTATGGTTTTGGATATGTTTTGGGAGGATAAGTTAGCTCTGGAATCTCTCTTATATATAGCAACGGTGGGACCATGACTAAAGGGAAGTAACATTGTGCAATACGATGAAGCTGACTTTGCGGTGGAGGTGGGGTATGTGTAAGTGGGGTTAATTAGGCAATTGTACTTATGACACATTTGATTAGTTAGTAGGGTTAGGGTGGATCGTTTGAATGTGGAAATTTGAAAATAAGGGAATTGAGACCAATTTCTACATCATACAAAACCTAGAAATTGTTATGTAGAAATTGGACAAAATTCCATGTTTGGATGAAACTGTGAAGTGTGGAAATTGTTGTTGTGGAATTGTGGAGAAATACAAAAATATCCTTCTTTATGCGATGTCGTTTCCTTTCCCATAGAGTCCTCTTCCCCTTCCTTTCAAAAAAAAAAAAAAAGAGTCCTCTTCCCCTCCTTCTTAGTGGCAGCTGGCAAGAAGCCACGTTCTCTAATCCAGTCATCCTCCACCTAGTTCAGATAAGGTCATAGAGGCCATTAAGTGGTACATGCATGGAAGAAGAAGGTGAAAGAATTATTGTTGGTGACGGGATTAAGGAGGTGAAGAATCAATTGTTGGTTTCTGATTTTTTTTAATCCCTGTCGAAGAACGAGGAAGATGAAGGAACTGAAGAATCAATTGCTCCCGTCGGGGATTAAGAACAGGTGAAAAATAAATTGACGGTGTCTGACGGCGTCGGGATTAAGAAGGGGCAAAGAAACAATTGAACATGTGGGTTTAGATTTAATCCTCGATTAACTCTGTGTATCATCCCTGCGTTTTGCCAGTTTTTTCCCCATTTCAGAATCGTAAAGAAACCCAGCAGTTGCGGAGCGGATATTCTAGAACTCTTGCGAGTTGCGAGAAGAGGGGGAAAGGTATGTGAGAATTGATTGTTTTTTTCCTCTCCTCAGCAGACTTTGATTGCGAAGGAATCACACTTCGTCTACAGCTCGACGATGAACGTCCAACCATTCTGTTCCCCGACGATCGATTACGACATCGAAATCCATGAAATCAAAGCGCATGCAGCTCATAACAGAGCAGCTCAGCTCGCCGGCTTCCCAAACCACGGCTGAGAGAGGAGGTATTAGATTAAGAAGTAGCGATGTGTACATAGCAAGAGAAAGGCCAGATATGTGTGCAAAGATTCCTTCTTCAACATTTCCAATTGAAGATCAGATTATGTATGGTATAGTGTTCTTGGGTAGTTGTGTGTGCAGAACCTTAGAAAAAGGCAAGGTTAAAATGGGGTTTATAGTAAAAGAGGAGGGGTATAATTGGAAAGAAAATACTCATAAACGCAGGAATTGGAAATGCTGGGGGTGGGTGTCGGATTTACCATTACCACATCTGTGGTAATGTAGCCCAATTACGGCGACCAATTTCCATGCTTTTTTTTTTCACAGCCAAACATGGAAATTTGATTCAATTACTGCATATGGTGGGAATTGAGCCCAATTCCCATGTTAAATTACTGCATCCAATCGACCCCATATATTGTACTTATGACACATTTGATTTTTGGCTCGTATGAACGTGGAAATCTTTGAGATGAGTGAAATTTTAAGTTGTTGTGTGATATATTTTGAATGTTGATAGTATGGATGAGCTATTGAATCGTGATGGCAATGAGGCGGGCGGGCGAGGTGAGTATTTCAATATTAATGTTCCGCCCCATTCTGTTGCGGGGTCGGGGCAGTTAATGCTTGTGCAGGTACGAGGTTGGGTAGGTCGATACACTTTTACATTTTATGTGAAAAATATACATGCAAAATTTTACTTTTTATGATAAAATGAAGGGAAAACATTTTATGAATGAAAATAGTGATACTAGAATGGGTAATTGAGTCTAACTAGTTGAAATTGAGATAAAATGGAGCAAGAACAAGGTGGGGCATGACTGGTTGGAAGTAGATATCCATGCACCGTCCCCACGCTGTTGGGTGTCGGGTAATACCCGACTGGGTGAGTACAAATTCCCTTCCCTACTATCGAAGGAGAATAAAAGTAGTTGGTGTCCAGACTATTTTCCTATATAATTAGTAATTTTATGTATCAAATAACAGGTTTTATGCAATGTAGTTGATCTTAAATAACACATTTCTCCTGCCACGTTATAGGTATACTAGTATGGTTAAATTAGCTTGTATGATCAATTAGACCATTAATTATGAATTACTCAATTGTGATGGAGGTCATATGGGTAAGGGGGTTAGTTAGGCAGTTGCTATTAATTAATTAGTAGTTAGTACCATTCCTGGCGGATCCAACAATTTTTTAAGAGGTGTCATTTTTCAAAAATGAAATGAAATTAATAGCGAAAAAAGTTTATGATTTATCAAATAAGGAAATATCCAACTAGTTAAATTTCAACAGAAAACCATGATGTATTTTTCATGTTCTGAATATTTATAAAATACATTAAGTGTCTGCATTGTTAAAAATCACTTTCATTATATCATAATAAACAAAAATTCACAAAGTCTTTTTGATTTCGAAGCTTTTTATATTTAGCCCAAAGCTATACAATTTTTTTTAACACTTCCAATTGAAACTGATAAAACCAATACAACTTTAAAATACAAATAGTATGATAATGAATATACTTTTGCCTTCATCATAAATTAAGCTAATTTATTTCTTCTTCTTTTCCTTCTCCCGCCGCGTGTCCCCTCCTTCGTCGAGCCTTTTCTTTAATGGTTGGGGGAAGCATTCAAATCTCGAAATCTCTCATCATTTTTAACAAAATGGTAATAATTCGTGATGACATGAGTGGAGGGAGTTATCACATGACTAAACACACCCTAACTCAAGAACTATGCCTTTTATTTTTATTTTTAATTTATGTCTTCGGAGGAGAAAGATCGAATAGTGAATAAAAATTTGTTTCAATTTTGGTTTTTTTGATAAAATTGAAAAATTTATATGGATTTTATTTGATGTACTAACATATTTGATGTTTTAAAGTTCAAAAAAATGAGCTTGAGGTGTAATGGATACCGTCTTTTTATGTTCAATGTAAGGTCAATGGTTTTCAAATTAAGGAACTGTCACATTTTCTTGCAAAATCCGAAGCTAGCCGCTAATTTTTCGTAAAATTTAGAGTTTTCATGGGACAATCTTACACCTCATTGAATCCACCTCCGAGTACCAAGAGATGAATTAGCTAGTAGGATTACGACCAAAGGATAAGCATACTATACTTATGATATTAATTGAGATTATCGAATAACAACAGCCTAGTGTCTTTTTGCCCAAACCTTATTCTCACCATTATATATTAACTCTCTCTCTCTTTCTCCAGAACCCTCTCCCCTTTCTCTTAAGTCTTATATTAATACTATATTATATAATTACTCGTTACAGCGTACGTACGCATGTAAACAAATATCATGCATTGTTCTAAGAGATGACATCTCCTTTTATTTTAGTAAGACTACAGAGCATGATATAGATACGATGACCTCCATTTTTCATACGAAGGAGTGATACATCTTTGACCAACGTTTATATTTTCAAGGCAACCCGTAGAGCACCAGGATCTTATTAGAGTACCACCTGATGACCAAACTGCGTGTGTACCATCTAAAGAATTCCTTCGCCACCTTGAGAAAATCAGACTTTTGATGAAGGAAATACATCCAAGTATAACGGGTGGCATGATCAATAAAGAGTACAAAGTAGTGAAAGCAAACGCGTGATGTCACAGGAGAAGGACCCCATATCCTTGCAGCGGTAACCTTTCTTTTCGAAATCAGTCTGAACTAATCAAAAGGGTTCAAATAAACTATGGTGCTCGAGCTAAATGACTGTTGTGAAAGTTTAGCCTCGATACAATGCACACAGTCTCGAGAATAAGAAATAGAACTACCAGACAAAAGCTTATTCTTAAACATCTCTTTTAACCTCGCATAATGCGGGGGACCAAACCGAAGATACCACAAATCCCTATTTGACAGCTTAACAGAATAACCAACTAAATCAACTATCTCAATGATTGTTGTGCGATCGGCGTTGCGAGCTCTCCCACCACCAGAATCTCGAGAATAACTATCCAAGATGTAGACCCTCTCTACTTTAGTCCCTCGCCCTATCTCCGTACCCGTGTTCTTAACATGCACAGTGCAACCATGATTATCAAATATAACTTGACAACCTTCCT